CCACCCCCCCCCCCCCCTCGTTATGTGGGACTCCTCCCTGCCCACTTCTCTTCAGGACCAATTTTGTAATTCCTTCATCTATGACATAAAATATGATCAAATCTGTGGCTTTCTGGTTATCACAAAATGTGTCTAAAATACATGAAATACATGTAGCATTACGCAGACCCTAAAATAGAAACATTTTCTGAGGGACCTTGCCTCAGTGGTAGAGCCCCCCGGCTCAGTCAGCTGGACAATTGGACCCCCACTCGTTTGGAGCTGGCTACACACCTGCTCACATGATTTGATGATCTTTCTACTGACCTGATCTCGAAAACCATCCTTCTCTTCTTCAAAGAGTTTGTCTGCCTCGTCAAGAATCAACCATTCCACGCTGTCCAACTGTATAGCAAGAGGATCTTGTTGAAGCATGTGCACAAGTCCGTTTGGGGAAGATATATGGTTACACAGAGAACCAGGGTTGTGACTTACTGTCTGAAAGACCGACTAACTAACCAACCAAATGATTGCTTGACCAACTGATTGGACTTACCGACCGACTTACCAACTGACTGACATACTGACCATCCAGCTGACCAACCATCCCACTGTCCAACCAACCAAGTAACCAACCGACAGACCGAACAACCGTCCCACTGACCAACCAATCCAAACACTTGTAAGATGAATGTCGTGTACTGTGGAAAAGTTCACAACATCTTGGAAAGATCTGGTCTATGTTTCTCAAATATGGATCTCATTCTAATTTTATCTAAATTTTCCGGTCAGATAGGTCCGAAGCACAAACGTTTTGTGTTCCATTCAACAATTTGACCGTTCTGACCGTGTTAATGGGAAGCGTCCTTGATTGCTATTAGCGAGCTTAAGATCTACAACGCGAACTTACGACGCGGACGTCGCATTAAACAAGTTTTATTTTAAAACGATGGCAAATACCATTAAAATATTTTTATCACAGTAAATAAAATGAAATTATACTGGAAAAAATGTACAACATAACAGAGGCTAGCAATATATTAAGAAGATATTTTTTATCATAAGTTTTTACGACTTCTATGACCGGTATGACGACGAATCTTTGCAAATATCACGTCGTCTCGGATGGTAGTTTTGGCGGGAAAATGTGCATTCGCAACAACAGTCTATAAAGCCTGGTTTCTATCATTTCGTATGGCTGTTAACGTGTCATAACAGTGTCACAAATCTCGCAGAAATAAACTGTGACAACTCTGACAACTCTGACTAGGCTTACACTCGAAAACTAGGCTTAGCTAAGCACGTCCGCGTCGTAAGTTCGCGTTGTAGATCTTAAGCTCGCTATTATGCAAGATAAGGTTTTAACCCGCTTTAGGTTTATTTTTTTTTTCCATTCCAAGTGCAGCTGTGCAAGTTACAAATGATTTATTAAAGTAAATGAGTAAACATGGTGTCAAAGGAAATTACAAATAAGGATAGGCCGGATTTTGATGGAAATAGTGGGGGAGGTGGCAAAAATGTTAGGGGGGGGGAAGGTGGGGTGGTGCAGTGGTTTAGCTCTCGACCCCCATGGAAAGTCAGGGCTTAGAACGGGCCAAAGTCAACGACGTGACGTATGCATGTAGTGCACACATGCATATGTATCAGTGTTGATATGAATTATGACTGTATATAACTCATTCAATTGTGCCCTTCATTATATTACACAGAGATGAATGGCTATCACTGTCTCAATTTTACAGGAAAACGTTCTTACGAAGTGTAGACCCTAAGTCAAATTTTCACTTTGATCTATCATTGAAACTTTCCCAAGGGGAGGTGTATGACTTTTCAGGAGAGGTGCAAAAATTCTCAGAGGAGGCCCCACACCTCTCCTCAAAATCCGGCCATGCCCGGGATCCTAAATTTACCTTTTTCAAATGTTCCTCAAAAGTGCGTAAAAACAATGGATCATTAAATTTGACCGTACATGACGCCAATATGCATGCAACAAGAATACAATAATTTTATTTATACAGGGTAATTCAGTGTAGAAACACTGGTATAGCAATGGAAGCCCTGCATGTAAATAATAATAAACTAAGTGTCCATTATATATATTAACGTTACATGTCTGAAATGACAAATAAGGAAGTATGATATATTGATTCCTTAAACTACTTATTGAAGTGAAATGTACATAGATTAGAAGTTCAGAATTTTGAATTACTGAGACGATAGACGATCTTTTGCATCGCTTAAATCTACATCCATCTTCATATTCTTTGTTACTGCACCACTATTCCATATTTCCACTGCACTAGGCCTTCTCAGTGGATCTTTCTGGTGAAGTAAAGAAAATTAGAGAGTTTAAGCTTCGCGTTATACGTCAAACGGCAAACTCCAGGCAAAGAAAAATTTTACGATATCAGGCAATAAAGAGTAAATTAGCTTGCTGTTTTAAAACTGAAATACATAATTATTCTTTCGACGCAAGAGAGAAAATATGAAACGAAAACGTTCAACGAAAATTTTGCTAAGAAATTTCCTATCTGCCGTTTGCCGTTTCCGGAAACGTGAAGCTTAACTCCCTAATGATTATATAAAAATTCACATGGATAGTAATTTATTTATCGACTATTCGCCGACTATTCGTACTATTAATACTCCTTTTATCAATTACTGACATTATATATTGCTCATTATATCATAAAAGTTGTCTGTATACGCTTTTTGATGCAGTTAAATTAAATTAGTAAAATTCGACGGAAATTCGACGTTGAAAGGTCTTGCCTTATACTCCGTGTAATTTGATTGTTTTTACTCCGTGATGGCTATGTTGAAGTATCATATTAACATAACTCACGAACGTTGAAAAGCATTTGTTCCAGCCAGTGGAGTAACTAAGATTTGTATGTATCCCATGTTCCAGGTGAAATAAAACAAAAACAGAGACCTTATATAGGATTGACGTTTACGACACACCGCTATAAACCGCATATATGACAAACTTCAAATCGCATTTGAAGGTTTGAAGGTAAGTTATACAAGTTTTCAACAGTCAAGTAGCTAATCCATGCTCCAAATTTGATGCCCAAATTGCCCTGACTTCAAACAGCTAACAGTTGACCACGAAATGCGATTTGAGGTTTGCCGTCTACACAGGCATAGTACAAAACATGGACTGGACCCATGGACTGGACCCAAAATTGGACCCAAAATTGGACTCAAAATTGGACTCAAAATTGGACTCAAAATTTTAAGCAAAATTTTGCCCAAAAATCCATTATTTTATCGGAGAGAAACAACCCTCAGAATATCGTGCTATGATTTGTATAGGCAAAAAACTTCACGTTCCATCACTTTTCCTTGACCTATCTAATATCTAGCTATTTGTCTTCCAAAATTCTATATTCTATTTTCTATAAACGTTATCTAGGGTATCTCGTAAATAATAAACCTTTGTGAAATATCTTTGCGCAATGGTCACAAATACATCACATCGATATAAATCATTCCATCAATATACACATCAATATATAGTTATTTTAATTATATACATTGTGTGTCCGTATAATACGACCTCTACCCAGTATATATTCCGGCATATATCAGTCCTAGCTAACAAGTAACGAGTTCGCAAAGTTTGTTTTGTCCATATATTCTAATATTTATCGCAACTAGCTATATGTGGGCTTATCATTATGCACATAGTGTATTTCAGAACCATCCTCAGAGATACGAAAAACTAGTTTCATATTTAATCTGGCACTGCAATCGACCAACGAAAAATTCGTTGGCTCGAGCGGGATTTGAACTCGCATCTTCGGGTATCTAGACCGCCGCTCTATACCTATTGAGCTATCGAGTCAACAGGGATCGGTAATGGTAGCGAGTCTTATCCAAGTGCACGAAATATTTTCGTGACGACTTAACGCTTGTCTTAGAGGACGCGCAGTGTTTCAATTCTATTTCAGAACCATCATCAGAGATAGGATACAATATGTGCATAATGATAAGCCCACATATAGCTAGTTGCAATAAATATTAGAATATATGGACAAAACAAACTTTGCGAACTCGTTACTCATTAGAGGATATATATGCCGGAATATATAGAGGGCGTATTATACAGACACAAAATGTATATAATTAAAATAACTATATATTGAGGTGTATATTGATGGAATGATTTATATCGATGTGATGTATTTGTGACCATTGCGCAAAGATATTTCACAAAGGTTTATTATTTACGAGATACCCTAGATAACGTTTAGAAAATAGAATATAGAATTTTGGAAGACAAATAGCTAGATATTAGATAGGTCAAGGAAAAGTGATGGAACGTGAAGTTTTTTGCCTATACAAATTAAATCATAGCACGATATTCTGAGGGTTGTTTCTCTCCGATAAAATAATGGATTTTTGGGCAAAATTTTGCTTAAAATTTTGAGTCCAATTTTGGGTCCAATTTTGAGTCCAATTTTGAGTCCAATTTTGAGTCCAATTTTGGGTCCAATTTTGGGTCCAATTTTGGGTCCAGTCCATGGGTCCAGTCCATGGGTCCAATTTTGGGTCCAGTCCATGGGTCCAGTCCATGTTTTGTACTATGCCCTTATAACAAGCATATATACCGCCAATATAGTAAAACAGTATTGTTTTAGTAAAACAATACTTTTATTGTTTTACAACATTTTACACTATTAAAATTAAATTTGCTTTCAGGACTCACGAAGCAGAACTTTATACAATGATAACTTATTACGTACTATTTAAAACACGAGTAGGAGTGTTTTAACTTTTATCAGATATAAAACGCGAGGCGCAGCCGAGCGTTTTATATCTGATAAAACACGACAACGAGTGTTTTGAATAGCTTAAAATACGACTACAAAAGAATACTAATTAGGATGAACCATAATATAGTCATGCTATGAACAATTATATAATGCCACATGTGTTTTATCAGATGTAAAGTCACTCCACGTGACATATTATGGCTGACATGATTTGACACAAGGTTTATGAATTATCAACCCTTTATTTTAAATAATTATACATTCCACGAACCGCTCTCCAGCGCAAGAAAGATTTTTAATGTGCATGAAAAGTCGGCTAAACATAAAACGATAAGATATGATATATTTCTTGGCTTCGATGGGAACAACTACAAAATCGCCCACGCAGATATTTATATATTTGTCACTAATTAGCGCAAATATGCGGAGCTCAGCTTGGCCCTTTGCATGGGCAATAGTTATAGAGATTGTCCATGACCAACTTTATAAATTGCCATCTAGTTTACGCTTTAATTGATACATTTTGCACTCTTGAACTGTGCACAGGGTAATATATGTATAGATTTGTAATCCAAGTGAGAATATATACATTTTAAGACCTATAACCAATAACGACTGCGAAAAATGCCGTAAGTAACCGTAAGTTCATGCCAGTATATAGGTAATCGGGTGTGCGGGTTGTGATAAGGTTAGGGTATATTCCGACCTTTGGGCTAGTATTCGAACCTACGACCTTTGGGCTAGTATTCGAACCTACGACCTTTGGGCTAGTATTCCACGGTGGGATTCGAACCTACGACCTTTGGGCTAGTATTCCAAAGGTCGTAGGTTCGAATCCCACCGTGGCCGGGCATATTTTTCAAGCTCGCCCGGTGTGGATATGCACTCAGAGTAACATCGCAAACATATTATTCATCTGAGTACACAACACCAACACAGAAAAAAAAAATTACGATTATGTTAAAGTTTTTTTGTGGACGGAACTTTCGGGTGAAAAACTATTTACATATATCAAGACAAATTAGAAATGACATAACTAAAAACTATTTACATATGCCAAGACAGCTAAGATGAGCTTGCTTATCTTAACAGAGTATGCGTAGACTGCACATGCTGAAATGTACTGAATATTAATTCATGTGAAGAACCATTAAATTATTTCAAGATAAAGTCGATTTAAAGTCGATTAGTTGATTGGCAAATAAATTTTAAAAATCAACGTTGTCTAAGCCGAGAAAATCAAAACTAAAGTTTATGTAAATCAACATGACTTTTATCACATATAAAACTACCGACACGGTAGCGATTTCCTTTGTCTTTTCCTTATGAATTATTAATGAGTTTTTTTAAGTACTAATTAAAACACGCGTAGGAGTGTTTTATCACTTAAAATGCGAGTGCGCAGCACGAGCACTTTAGATATGATAAAACACGACTACAAGTGTTTTGAATAGCTTCAAACACGACTACAATAGATGCCGTCTCATTAGCATAAAGAATACTAATTAGAATGGACTTTTACATAAAGAATACCAATGAAGATGAGTTTTATCAGCTATAAAGCCTCTTCACGTGACATATTATGGTTGACATGCTTTGCCAACAAGCTTATGAATTATTAAAAAGTGTGACGATGTGTATCAATGTGCTATTTCTTGCTATGTGTGACTATATGTTGCTATTTGTAACTATGTGTTTCAATGTGCTACGTATGACAATGTTTGCTATGTGTGACTATATGTTGCTATGTGTTTCTATGTGTGACTATATGTTGCTATGTGTGACTATATGTTGCTATGTGTGACTATATATGTTGATATGTGCAGCTATGTGTTTCAATGTGTTATGTATGCCAATGTGTTGCTATGTGTGACTATATGTTGAGTAAGTGTTTCTATGTGTGACTATATGTTGCTATGTGTTTCTATGTGTGACTATATGTTGCTATGTGTTTCTATGTGTGACTATATGTTGCTATGTGTGACTATATATGTTGATATGTGCAGCTATGTGTTTCAATGTGTTATGTATGCCAATGTGTTGCTATGTGTGA